GGGGGGGGGGGGGGGGGGGCAGAAGACACACCTGTGGAGCAAGTTTGATACAATAGGTCTTATTTAGAGGCCATGCATGGGCTGTTGTGAACATGGCCCTGAAGTCGAGGCTGGCAGAGATGCCTGCCGGGCAGCAGAGCAGCATGAGCGGGAAGCAGCCCCCATTTGGGGTGGTTTTGAAATGAATGGGGAGGGACACCGTTGAGGGACGCCTCTCATTCAGAGGTGTCAACCCCTGTGCATGGCGCCAGGATGTCTGGGGGCAAAAGAAACCTCTTTGAGTGAGCCTTGTCTTGCCTAGGCTAATGCTGGGAACAGCCCAGGTGGCTGTGGGAGGCAGGCACGAGCCCAAGTCATTGGGTTCCTGCCAGTTTGGAGAAGAAGGGACCTCAGTGGCCAAGCAGGGTGCATCGTACTCTGCTTGCTCCCCACATGGCCGTGTGCCTGGGTTTGAAGCTGGCACAGACTGGGAAATGAAGGTAGGATTCTCCTAGTCTCTTTCTACTGCCACATGGACCAGAGTCTCTGGCTTGCAAATCAGGGGAGGGAACGGGCAGTTTCTGTCATTTTGTTATGATGGCATATGCCATAAAAGTCAAACCTTGGGGTGTGGAGCTGCCTGGGATTTGTACTTGGCACAACAAAGTACAAGAGGGGGTATCCTTTCAGTCAAGGGCAGAGGACAGACTCCTGACCCCTGAGAAGAGAAAGCTCAGTCCAAGAGCTAGTACTGGGAGTGAGAGAAACAAGCTTGCCCTACTTATTTTTCTGGAGGCCTTTCCAGAATTCTCTATGTCCCCTTAAGCAGAGGAAGAGGTCAGCGTGTAGGTTAGCAAGCCTTGAAGCTTGAACTAAGCTGGTCCCCCAAAGAAGCAAGGGCTGAGTCCCTTCATCCTCCACAAAGGCAAAAGGGTTTCAAGGTCCTGGAGCTGACCCAGGAACCTGCCCTGAAGTGTTGCTGGAGCAACAGCAGGGGGCTGAGGCAGAGGACTGGGGGTTGGGGCAGGAGATTCTTCTTCCGGCTAGGCCACTTGCACCTGTAGTGGGTGGATCCAGACACCACCTCTGGGGAGTTACCTGGTGACTGTAGCTGCCAGAGTGGAGCGGTCACAGTGCCACAGAAGGGCGTGTACTTCCATATCACCTAGCTCCACCCCTCCCTGTCCCTGAAAGTCGAGGCCCAGTGAGGCAGCCTTGACTCAGCCAAGGTTTCACAGCAGCCAGGGCTTAGCTGGGGCTCCAGCACTGCTTTTCTTTCTCTCAGAGTCATGTTCACTTGTGCCACATCACAGGACCCCAGAGCCTTACCTGCTTTCTGAGATCCTCACCTGGTACCTCTCAACCTGACTCCCAACTCCTTTCTTCCTCCTGGAGGCTGCCACCACCACCTGAGCAGTGTTCTGTAAGCCCAGGAAGGGGGTGTCTTGTGCAAGAAGGGGAACTACTGCATTTACCTCCAGGCTTGCAGCTCCCTTCTTTCCTGGAGCCATTCCTGGTGCATCCTCAACCACTGCCTCTGTGTTTCATGTGGGGGCCCTGGATACCCTTAAAGTATCAATATCACATCAAGTATCAGTGCTTTCCTAACCCTTTAGCTCTCCGCCCAGAACCTGACTGACATTCAGGTCCAGCTGGGAAAGAGTAGGTGGGAACAGAGACTAAATGCCTGTCACCTTGCCCCTGACCCTGCCTCAGCTAAAAGAACACTGAGAAAGCAGGTCTGAGAGCAACCAAAGGCTCTGGTCCACAGTAGGGAGGTTGGATAAGGGATTGAAAAGAGCACTCCCATTGTCCCCACTCCACTCTCCTATGTCCAGGTGAATGCCACCTAGCTCTTCTTTTTCTGGTAGATGAAAAAGTCCAAGGCTCAGAGAGGTCATGAAGTTCACCCTGGAACTCAGCCCAAGAATCTTTCCATAATACCTGA